CTTTCATCTCATCTGACCAAGTGGTTAGTAATTTTAGAACAATGGGTTGAAGATTGGCTGAAAATTGGAGATATTTAGGATCTTGTTAGGTAAAATATGATTAATGGAAATAGTAACTATTAAACATTGGACATTCCCTTCACTTTTTTTTTTAACTTCAGTAGATTTGTATCACAGAGGATATTTCCGATAAACTTGTTGTAATTGAATTTCTCATTTATAGGGCAGTACTGGAGAAGGCATATGCCACTCACTTCTTGCTCTCCTCGCCTCCCCTATTTTTTTCTCTTCACCATTCCAAAAGCTCTAGCAGAAACCCTGTCAGCATTCTGTCCTTTCGCTCTTGCTGGTCTGTTGTTTTTCAAGGGTTTGATGCACTTGTTTTCTTATCAACAGTCTCCTTGAAAGCAGGAAAGATTACCCTACCTACTGTGTCTGAGAGCCAACTCCTTAAAATTAAGTGGGCACATAAATAAATAAAGCTTGTTAAATTAGAGAGGGAGAACTAGGAAGAGGGGCAGGAACCAGGTCATTTATGAGGTTTGGCTCATTTCTTGGGTCAGACATGAAGGACCCCCGACTCCCTTTAAACCCTGCAAGAACAGTTGGCTTCCAGCCTGGTTGCATCTGCCCTACCCCAGAGGAAGAGATGAGTTTGTTAACCTTCCTTGGGCACAAACTTTCACTCACATAATAGTTTCTGAAGTGCTTAGAGTCTGGCCCAGCTTCCTGTATTCTCCTAGACATTTGTCATGCTGATCTGTAAGAGTTATGTTTCTCCATCTCTTTTCCCAAACTATCAGTGCCTCAAGTAGAGACCCTTTATCAGTCATCTCTACCTCCTTTGTTTTCACTACCCCCCCATTTTCCTTAAAAACAAAGCCAAACCACATAAGACTTCCAAAGCTTCTAGCCTAGTAGAAGCAGTATCCAGTGCAAGAACTATAGGTAGAGGCTGAGATTGGTAAACTAAGGCAGATTTTCCTACCACCAGAGATATGAAGACTTGGGTCCTGGTCCTACCCAACTCCTCATTTCTTGGGTGACCTTTAGTAATTAACTGTCATTGCTTACTCTAATGATATATATGATATACACATGTATATACTATATAAAATTTGTCCTTTTAAAAAAAAAAGTCCTTTTGTATTGCATGTGATTACATAATCCAGGGAGTAATTCTTCTTAAAGACATACTACTTGTGTTTAAGAGTTTGAAAACTGGAAAACCAAATTTTAGTAAAATTTCCATATATTGGGACCACTGCATTCTGTGAGATAACTAAGAAAACAGATCTGTTGTTTACCTTTGCAGTTTGGTGAGGGAAAAGGTATTTACCAGATAAATGCTGCTAATGAGATACTATGGTAAAGCTTAAGCCATTTTAGAGACCTGTTTTTATTTTTTCTCTATATGGTCTGGTTACCTACTTAATTATATATTGGTTTGTTCTCTGAAAGTGTTCTCATCCTATTGTTACCCTTAACTTTCCAGTTACTCTCTCAGTGCTGGAGAATAAACTTGCATTTCTTTTAGAACATTTATTCAGGCCAGGCACAGTGGCTCATGCCTGTAATCCCAGCTCTTTGGGAGGCAGAGGCAAGAGAATTGCCTGAGCCCAGGGGTTTGAGACCAGCCTGGGCA